TCAGGCAGCTGAAAATAACGCGTATTATTTGTCCTCCAAGGGAGCGTTTTCCTAGGAATGTGACGCCACGTGAAAACTATGACTCCAGACACGTATACATATATATGAATGTAAACAGCAGCAACCAGATGATAGTATGCAAATTTCATCTTCACAATAAACAGTCTGACATTTGGTCAAACTGCTGAAGCCTCAAATTATCCTTAGCTGAACTTCATAACGAATGTTTACAGAGAACCACCCATCACTCAACATTGAAATTGCTTTAAGAGGTAATCTCTTTACAGCAGTATGGACAGAAACAAATAACCTTTAATGTACAAATGGGCATGTCAAAATTGTTTTAAGATTGATTAAAAATGTGAACCTATTGCTTAATGAGAATGTAAAGCCAGGGTTACACAAAAAAAGTTGCTTCATAACCCCAGTAACTGTTTATGTGTGTGTGTAGAGTTGTGTTTGTTCGAATCTTATGAAGTTTTACATAATGACAAAACATCTCTGTGAAATAGTGATTGCTGCTGTTTTGTGTGTTTAACATATAAAAACAAATATGTTATTCCTTCATGAAGAATAAATAAAAATGAATCAGTCTAAGTGATTATATTATATTTTTGTAGCGTGCCTCTGTAAATTTGTCATATTGCTGATAAACAAACTCGATTAATTCCTCAAAAATCAAGTGAGGTAAAGATGTCGTAAAAGAAATTCCGTTTCGATGAAGATTCTTTGAACAAGACAACAATGAAGCATGCAGCCAAGTGGCCATGCTAAAGAAATTAAAATCTATGGATGGACCTAAAGATCTCAACCAATCTCACAGAGCTGACAAAGCACTGGGCATCAGACAAAACTCAAAGCCACCTGAAGTTGTAATCACTAAATATGGGGTCTATATAAACAAACAAACAAAAAACAAATAAAAACATTAAATCCTAACCTTGATCTGATTAAGCTAAGTCTGGAACACAACAAAATGTAGTGAAAGTAAAGAATCAGAAGGAGCTTTTTTGCCCAGTAGTGTTTTACACATACAAGGAATTTGCTTTGGTGATAGGGTGCTACACGTAGACAAACATGCAGTTGACATAAATAAATGTAGAAATATATAAATATGGAATAAAAATGCAAGTTACATAAGAATAATATAAGAAAAGAGAAAAATATCTGAGCACAAGAACACCTACGACAGACTCCAGGCATCGTCTTCAGCTCAGCGTTTAACACAATAATTGACAGCTGGTGGAAAAGCTGGGGTTGCTAGAGGTGGATACTGGCTCCTGCATCTGGATCCTGAACTTCTTGTCGCAGAGGCAGCAGTCAGTGAGAGTGGGCAGACACTCATCAGCAACAATCTCAGTGAGCACAGGTTTGCCTCAGGGCTGTGTCTCGAGCCCCATTCTGTTCACTCTGCTCACTCACGACTGCTCTGCCAGATTCAATTCCAAACACATAATTAAGTTTCTGGATGACACAACAGTGGTGGGTCTCATAACTGACAATGACGAGTCTGCCCACAGGATGGAGGTGGAGCAACTGTCTGGGTGGTGCAGGTCCCACAACCTCCCCCTGAATGTCAACAAAACAAAGGAGTTGGTGATTGACTTCAGAAGGGACACCAGGCATCCCCATCACACACGGCTAACCATGGATGGCTCTGCTGTGGAGAAGGACAGCAACAGGAAGTTCCCTTAAACACACAACTGCAACTTAAAACAACATGATATAATTGGTTTCATTTGCACACAGAACATTTAACTCACAGCCAGATAACATTTTCTCTAATCAATATTTACTGCCATATTTAAGTCTCAGATATCCACTTTGAAGATTTAATCAGACAGAAATGTGCCAGATCAGTAAGCAAATGTTTTGAATAATGTCACCTGCTACTTCAACTCCTTGAACCTAGCCAGTCAAGCAAGCAAATATTTAAGCTAGGCTTTGTAAACACAGTATTCAACAAACCATGGGTCAGCTACTGCAGCTTAGCATTCATAATTAAATGTTTCCAAAATGCTGCAAGGTGTTGCCAGACTCAAATTTGAACCCAAAGACCAATCACAGCCCAGTGAGTAGGGGAGAACGGGGTGAGTTGAGCCAGTTTTCACTTAAGATGTCTTTAAAGTGAGGACATGACAGTAAATGTCTCCAACTAAAATATGTACATATATTTTAGGATGTGGTGTATCCCTGAGAATAATGAATTTGGATCTAAAATAAACTGTTTTCAAAATATGGCTTTGCAAAATAAAGTGGACCCTTGGCTCAATTTGCCCCATATGAAGGGTAAGTTGAGCCAAGGGAGAGAATGAGTTGAGCCACATGGGGGTTGGGGACATCAATGTCATTTCATCATGCAAACTCAAACGCCCAAAAGTCCCAACATTCAGTTCCACTCAGTGAAACATTGCAGCTGTGTCTCCTAGTTGTTTCATTGTAGTGTATCACTTTAAAGTCATCTTGTTGATCGTCATGTCCCGTGTCACCTGATGTATGGACTTCCCATTTTTGTACCTCTTCCACTACTCTGTCCAAACCCACAACAGGAGTTGAATCCTATCCGTCTTCTATTTATAGAAGCATGACATGATGGTTTCTGGTCTAAAATGCATCATGTCACATCATTTCGGTGATGCATAAGAATCCAACGTAAATATGTGTCACCCAGCAGTTTAAGGGTAACGTCATGCTAACAGTTTAGCCTCATATTGTAATTTACAAAGCACTAATACATGAGTAAAATTTTCTTAAACATGTCTGTAATTGTTCAGACACAAAAATATCAACTCCTTGAACATAAAAAAATCACTTTGAACAGTTTTTCGATCTTAAATGTGCTTATCGCTTATTCCATGGGCCTCTCTCCATCGCAGGGTGAGTGAAATGGATGACTCTTCAAAAATGTATGCTCACATGACCAATTTTGTCTATGGTTGTGAGAAACTCAACTTCCCCACAGGCTCAAATCACCCCGCTCTCCCTTAAGTAAGGTGCGTTTGTCCGATCCAAGTGTAGATAGGTTTCATGTGAGATGCCCAAACTGACAAGTATCGGACGGCTGAACACATACTAGTTTGAGAATAATTGTTTGCGTATACTACAGACAAAGTGCTTGTTGCATTGTCTGACCACGTTGGAAACCCCCCACACATTCCAACAATCATGATCACTTCAGGCAGCAAGTGTGTGTAAAGATGCAAAACAATAACTGCCTTTCAGTAGAGACTGTTCGCAGGTGTGTGCTGTTATCCCTATTTGTACAATTCATTATGGCAGCTGATTCCGGCCTACTAACTATTCTCATCCTCCTTGATCTGAGTACAGCCTTTGACACCATCTCTCATAACATCCTCCTTGAGAGATTAGTCTCAGTTGGTTTCACTGACACACCCTTGGATTGGTTTAAATCACATCTCTCTGGCCGCACTCAGTTCATCCAACTCAGACATTTCAAATCAGAGCTGTCCCCTGTCACTACCGGTGTTTCCCTGGGCTCTGTCCTGGGGCCTCTTCTTCATCTATCTGCTTCCTCTTGGCCATATCTTCTGTAAATTTAATATGCATTTCCACTATGTGGATGACACCCAGCTTTACCTGTCCACCAAACCTACCACATCTCTCCAACCCACCTCCCTCTCTGATTGCCAAACGGAAATCAAATCTTGGTTCTCTTGCAACTTCCTCAAACTTAACAGTGACAAAACCGAGGTTCTCCTCTTTGGCACCAAATTCACTTTAACTAACTACTGACTAAATCTGACAGTTTTTCTCTTACCATTGACAACTGCACAGTTTCCCCCTCCCCTCAGGTCAAGAGTCTGGGTGAGATCCTCAACGGCACACTTTCATTTCAAGCTCACATTAGTAATATCACTCGGTCTGCATACTTCCATTTACGTAACATTAATCGCCTCCGACCATCTCTCTCACCCACTAGTACAGCCATTCTCGTTCACACACTGGTCACATCCTGCATTGATTATTGTAATTCTCTTCTCGTTGGTCTTCCTCTCAAATCCATACATAAACTTAAACTGGTTCAGAACTCTGCTGCCCGTATCATCACCATAACCCCTTCTATTAATCATATTACTCCTGTCCTTCAGCAGCTTCATTGGCTTCCAGTTAAATACCGCACTGATTTCAAAACTCTGCTCCTGAACTTCAAGGCCATTCATAACCTCGCTCCTCGGTACCTTACTGACCTCCTTCATAATAACACACCCACACGTACTCTTAAGTCATCTTCTTCTATTCACCTCACTGTACCTCCTGCTCATCTGACAACCATGGGGTTCAGAGCCTTCAGACGCTCTGCACCTCGTCTCTGGAACTCTCTTCCACTAATCTACATACACAAGTAAAAGACAGATTTCTTGAGAAGTGGGGGAGGTAGTGTGATGAGATGATGCATGGAGACTCTGATGGAAGGCTTTTTGTCCCACCTTCTTGTTCTTCAAGCTTCCTGATCAGGCCTTTGCATCGTTAAACAGTCCTGTTGTTTACCTAAATTTAATTTAACCTAGAGTTCATTGCCTGCAGTAGCCTACAGCCATTCTGATCTTCCCTCTCTCTCTCTCCACTTGATGACAGCTTTGCACTGAGCAGTGGGGTCTGGAGGGGGGGATTAGTTGACATGGTGGGGGGGGTGGAGCGGGGTTTGGTGTTAAGGTCACGCCTCTGGCCTAAAAAGGCGAAGAAGAATACCAGCGGCAGCGAGCTGGTCCAAGAATAACTCAGGGCTTCAGGCTCAGAAACATGGCATGAGAGTAACAGTACAAACTTACATTCAGAGTTTTATTCGGACTAATCCAGAAAATGTAAAACAAGAGCAATAAAATGGAATGCTAGATTTAGATCTAATACATTTTTAGTGTGTTTAGAGTGAAACAACTGTCCACACTGTGATCACGTGACTTCAGCAGCAACATTGGCTGGTGGGATAAAGTTACAGTGAAGGGCTCTCTCCCAGTCTCTCTTCTCTCTTTCCCTTACATCGTCCTTCAGTCCCCGTGGTTGATCTAATTCTGTCAGAGCGGGTGGGCGGGGGGCCAGGCTCCTCTATCTACAACCCTCACTCTAACCTGGCAAAAGGCAAGACAGTGACCACCTTAACTTGGTCTCTGTCTGTCTCCCCAGCCTCGTCCACTGGGACGGAATTCAACTCTCTGGACCGACTCGCAAACATTTGGACCCCTGAAAAGTTTTTGACTTCTGGAACACGAAGGGAAAATGCAGATTTAAGTAATGGCAATGGAAAAAGGGGTGTAGTGTTACCAGCAGTGGCCAAAGGGTTCCAGTTTTCACATATCTTCAGCACCAGTCATTCACAGGAAGTTGCTAGACTGGAATTAAACACTGGGATTAAATCGCGCGGAGGAGTTGAGGATCTGCCATAAATATTTCTTTTCATGGCAACATAATCTGTTCAAGGGATTTACTGTGGAATAGAACTTTTATTTTGAAACTATGACTGAAGCAGTTGAAGGTAAAGTATCATCATGTGATGTATTACAATTAAATTTCAACAGTTTTTTTATATAATATACATATATTCATAATATATATGAAGCTCTTGCAGTGCTTTGAATGTTTTGTTTTGCACACAGTCCCTCTGATGTTGTGCTGCCTGGTGTGTGGGGGAATTTCATGACTGGAAGTATCTAAAAATACGGCGCTATCATGTATCAGCTATTTGTAATGCAACTTTAAGACCCCTGCGACATCTACAGTGCTGTATAGGATCAGTCAGCATCAACACTGTGCCTCTTGTTGCATGAGGCCAACTGATACTGTTTTTATATGACTTTTTAACAGTTTTTGTTAAAGTTTATGTCCATGGACAATGAAATGAGACAAACAATAGCAGTCTCAAAGAAGCTGTTGTTGCTATTAAAACTTCACAACTTAATTATACATCCATGATACACAGCCCACACACAAACATGCACATATTAGAGTGGGACAATTTAAACATTTATAGTTATTTTTCCAATTTATTCTTATAAGTAAACAGAGTTTGGTCACCACAGCATAGCTCTGACCACCTTCTATTGACAAGATAGCTAATCAACCTGTAAAACTGAAAACACCTGTGTGGGTGTGGAGGCCCCTTAATTAAGATAAGGAGATAATAGCTTATTAAAAGTGGCTATTGACATTTTTCCACCTCTCTTACTACCAACAGTGGTGGATCAAATTGGACCCCCTTTCCGGCTCAGTACCTTTCACACAGCGCAGGGAGCCGGCATATTGGCATAATAATCCCGGAAAATTGGGCAGTGTGAAAGCGCCTAATGATTATCCTTGAGCTGACACTGTTTTCTTGTGATCACAACATACATGTAGGTTCCAATTAATAGCTTTTCCGGAGCTTTCAAATACATCAGCGTATTACATTGGAGATGACAACTGAGAACAACATGATAACTGAACAAACTCCCGCTGTTGATGAGGACTGTGACATCTGGTTGAAAGCTCTGGAAAAAGCTAGTGAGTGGAAAGATTTTGTCAAGCTCAAAAATGATGGTGTTTATATTTATTTTTGAAGAAAGCTTTCTCAGATAATGTAATTATCATATTATGTTAGGATATCCAATTGTTGGTTACATCTTAATTATCTCCTTATTACATGAAAACAAATGGTGGGAATAGGCTTACTTACTCTTGAATTTTTGTATGTCATCCTGTAGGATATCTCCTCCCTCTCACATGGTCTGGTATGGAGGACTGACTTGGACAGACTGTAAAAGTGTGGAAACCCATTATCCTGTTAGAGATAACATTGAATAGGTATCTCATTATAGTGTGCTTAAAAACATGTAAATATGAGATTATGGGTGACTTGAGGTAATAACTTTCAATTAAGTCAAGATCACAAAATCTCATATTTTGAGATCTCAAGATAATTAATATATTATCACATGATAACAGACATTGCGATTTTAATTCAAGAAAGATCTGAACAGTAAAATGTTTTGGAAAACCTATAATGTTTATCTTGATTTTGCTCTGGAAATATTCGATCTGCTGAAACTACAATGCTTCTTGCATTTCTATTTAAAAGAGTGTTTATGTCAAAGACAACTGAGTATATTGTTACTTGTGTCGCTTTTGGAAGTACGTCTGTTTAGGAGTAATAATGGGACTTATGACAGTTCTGTCAGTATACATGTCAGGTCAGTCAGGAGTGTTTACAAAGCTGTTGGTATGCACTTGGGGAAGTGATGTCTGTGAGGCAGAGAGCAGATGAAGTATACATTTGTGATTCCAAATTCCAGCTGTCTTGTACACTTAAAAAAATTTACACAAATAATTAGTAAAATATACATGGGATCTATACATGGAGACTTTTTCCTGTGTTGGAGAAATAAGATTGTGATGATTGGACTTTGTATGTATGTTGACTTGTAATTAATTATCAATACTCAACACTCATTACTGCATCCTAAACTGGCACTCATGCTAGTAGAGACATGGAAACAGTAGCTTGAATCAAGCTCCTAACCTGATTAATAGCATCACCATGCTCAACCAGCCAGATCGTAAAGGTCTCTGCTGCACTTAGTTCAGCTCTGTGCACTCATTAAGGAAATGTTGTGACCACACTTCCCTGTATTCTGACTGAACAGGCAACCACTAGCTCCTAATGACTGCCCCGAGCAGAGCTGTCATGGATACCCAGTGAGAGTAACAACAGAAATGTCATCCACTGTGGAGACAGGTCAGCCATAAAAGGAGGAATCGTGCATGGATGGCTGGTCAAACCATTTAGAGTTGGGTTTAAAAAATGTCAGAAACACCAAAGTAAATGGGGAAGGAAGTTTTAATGTCTAGTCATAATGTCCAAAAAGTGCTTTATTTATTTAATATCTTTAATTTTCAGAATCAGCTTTTATTGCCTGGTATGTGTACACATACAAGGAATTTATCTCTGGATTGTACATTGCTCACAATGTGCTAAGTAGCACCGTAACTAGTTTAACTGCATTTCTCAGTAGCTTGGTGGTAGTGTCACTATTTTCTGAATCAAATAGCTTTTCAGTAACAAAGCTCTTTTATTGGCCGAGTAGCATGGTAGCGTCCACACGCGCTACATTGGACTTGTATGTGCAGCCGAGCTTCCTGTGACGGTGACATCACGTACCGATCCTTGGGGTGATGTCTGCAACTTTGCTGCAGAGGAATAAAGACACGCAAGACTGAGTTTACTTTCTATTGCGATAGTTACTGTAACACCTCTTGTGAGAAGGATCAGGGTCCAGCATGGACACCTCTTCCTCTAGTGAAGAGGAAACTTTGACATGTAGTGGTAGAAACTTCCATGAGATGAGATCTCTCTCTCTCACTCTCCCTCTCTCTCGCCCATTGCCATTAATGTTTAGGTTGTTTAGGTTGCAATGTTGCCAGAGCAGAAATTCACATATAAACAATAAAAAAAAGATAATTAATTAATAATGTGATAATTAAGTTACTTTATATAAACAACAATGGTTCTCTGTTTGTTGCACGATAAAATACATTTAGCTGCAATAATATGACAGTAAGTAGGAGTTGTTTCTGTGTGTCTGATTTAGCTCTCTTGCACACACACACACTGTTTGTATATACACACTATATATATAAATAAATGACCAAACTATAAAATATAAAAAAATTAAAAGTAGTACTAAGCTACTTTTTCCACGTTGCTGTAGCTTAGCTGGCTACATTTCACTGGGGGGTAGCATCTGTGTAGTGAAGCTTCATTTAATGTAGAGTAGCTAGTAGCTTAGCTCACTACATTTTCCAAGTAGCTTGCCCAACACTGGTGCTTACTCATACAAAAAATGCAAAATCACAATAATAAAACTAAAATAAAATCAGACACAGGATTCAGTGTAGACAACACAAATATACACACTATGAAAAAAAATAATATAGACATATTGACAAATAGTGCAGTGAGCAGAGTTCCTGCCTGTTTCCTGAATGTATAAATGTATGGAGGGCAGGTTGGCACCAGTGATCTTTTCTACTGTCCTGACTGTCTGTTGTAGTCTGTCCTTGTCCTTTTTGGTGGCAGATCCAAACCAGACAGTGATGGACGTGCAGAGGACAGACTGGATGATAGCTGTGTAAAAGTGGATCAGCAGGTCCTTAGGCAGGTTGAGCTTCCTGAGCTGGCGCAGGAAGTACATCCTCTGCTGGGCCTTCTTGATGATCGTGTCAGTGTTGGGCTCCCACTTCAAGTCCTGGTAAATAGTGGATTCCAGAAACCTGAAGGATTCCACAGCAGATACAGGGCTGTTGAGTATGGTGATGGGGGGCAGAGTGGGGGGGCTCCTCCTGAAGTCCACGGTCATCTCCACAGTTTTGAGCGTGTTAAGCTCCAGGTTGTTCTGACCGCACCAGAGAGCCAGCTGATCAACCTCCCGTCTGTAGGCTGACCACCGTCCCGGATGAGGCCAATGACCGTTTTGTCGACAGTTTGACAGATGGGTCTCCTGAGGTGCAGTCGTTGGTGTAGAGGGAGAAGAGCAGTGGGGAGAGCACACACCCCTGGGGGGCGCCAGTGCTAATAGTCCAAGTGCTGGATGTGATGTTCCCCAGTCTCACCTGCAGACTCCTGTCAGTCAGGAAGTCTGTGATCCACTGACAGGTGGAGGCTGGCACAGTGAGCTGGGTGAGTTTGGTGCTGAGGATGTCCAGGATGATGGTGTTGAACGCTGAGATGAAGTCCACGAACAGGATCCTTGCATATGTCCCTGTAGAGTCGAGGTGTTGCAGGATGTAACGCAGACCCAAATTGACTGCATCATCCACAGACCTGTTAGCCCTGCAGGCAAACTGCAGGGGGTCCAGCAGGGGGCCTGTAATGTCCTTCAGGTGGGCCAACACCAGTCTTTCAAAGTACTTCATGACTACAGATGTCAGGGCGACAGGCCTGTAATCATTTAGTCCAGAGATTGAGGGTTTTTTGGGGACCGGGATGATTGTGGAGTGTTTGAAGTAGGAGGGAACTTCACACAGCTCCAGTGATCTGTTGAAAATCTGTGTGAAGATGGGACATTTACTGAAAGAGAAAACAAAATGAAAATGACAATCCCATGACAATCTGGGCATTTAGATTTGGATATTTGGATTGGAAATGTTGTCCTGATGGTGGCACCTGAGGAAAGGTTAAAGCGTCAGTGGAAAAACTAAACCATGGTTTCAAGGTTTCAGGGTTTGTTGCTGTACTATTAAAAGAGGGCTAGAAAGTGGATTTTGCCTTAGTCCAGCCCAAACTGGTAAAAACATAATATATAAACAGAAAACATAATATCTAACAAGACTTTTCACGTTGGTCAGTCGAACTAGATGAAATGTCATTCTTAAGGACTGAATACTCAAGCAGCAGTAACCCCACAGGTTAGAGGAGTACTACATTTATACAGGTAGACAGCACATGGTCAAATCTATCAATAAAAAGACTTGACCATACTACCATTGTTGAACTTGGAAGTA